ATGTCGAGAGCCATCATTTGGGCCGCGGGAGGTGTGGGTCACACCGCTGCCTCAGGCACCGCCATGGTGGCGTCTGGCCATGGCCCGCCTATCACAGCCGCCACCACCTCTGCCTGCCTCGATGGGGCCTCGTCCGGCTATGTCGTGTTCACTAGGGTCGGCGCCACGAGCGCGGTCGGAAGCTTTGACTGACCCATCGTCGGCAGCGGCACCGCCTCCATCACCGGTCCTTCAGCGACCTCCAAGGGCGTCCTTCGAGCCCCCAAGCCCGCTTGTACTACCAAGGGCACGGGCGCCGCCACGGGCGGCACCTGATCGGCCGACGAGGCAGTAACATTGGCCCCACTCCTGCCCAAAACAGGTGCAACGTCAACCGACGGCCGCCGCCTCACCTGAATGGTGATGCTCTTCTTGGGCGCAAGCACCATAGAGTTGCCCCATCTCATGCAAGAAACAAAAGGCGTAAGTCACACTGAAAATGGAGAAAAATAGAGAAAACAAAGGAGTCAATGACTTACATCGGCGCTGTTGGGCGGAGTATATGTTTAGGGGATGAACCCCTAGGTCCTTGCTCCACCTCGTTGGGGCGGGGCCATTTTGAGCCCACCCCCTGCTGTCGGACAGAGGGGCTCGCCTCCCTTGCATCCTAGGGCACGGCGGCAGAGCCACCTCCCTCCATTGACACCTCGAACATGGCGGCAGATCCGCCCTCCCCAGTTGGTTCTTGGGGCGCGGCAGCGAAGCCACCCCCCCACCGGCACCTTAGGCATGGCGGAAGATTTGCCCACCCCTGCTGGCTCTTGAGGTGCGGCGGCGGGGCCACCCCCTTCCGCTGGCACCTCGAGTATGGCGGTGGATCCGCTCGCCCCTGCTGGTTTTGAGGACGGGCCGATGATCCGGCCCGCCTCCTCCGGTCTCATGGACTCGCCTCCCCCTGCATGAAACGGGAAGGGTCCCTGCAAGGACGAGTGGATACCTGTCAGCGTATCCTTGCTCTCTAGGTCATCCCACTTGGTGTCGGCAACTACCTCGTCATCTTCCTTGTCGTCGTCGTCATCATCACTGTCCGTGTCCTCCCCTCGCTCCCGTGCCTACAGCTTCTACTATTTCTTCCTCCTCTTGTCCTCCTTCGCCATCCTTTGCCGCTCGGCCTCAGCGCAGTTGGCCACCATCACGGATGGGTCCTTCGATAGTGGAGCCAGGTGATCCGTAAGGATGAGTTTTTTCGGCTGGTCCCCCTATCTCAATATCAGCTTCAAGAGGTCAAGAGTTCAATTAAAAAGGAGGCACGAGGAAAGAAAACTTACGAAGACGATGTACCCTAGTTCTGGGCGCATTGGGGGTGCCCTATCACTGGATACACAAACTCGAGGACAGCGCCGATGTCGTCCCGTGAAGGCTCCATCGCCTCCTTGATGCACTGCGCCACTTCGGAGGGGGAGAGCCCTCCCTCGGCGAGTGTCGTCCCGTCAAGTGATGCCCCGGGCGCCATCATGTGCAAGGGAAGCGTGCGCCTCATCAGTGGCACCACCCTCCGCATGTGGTAGGTGCTGATGATCCCCGACCCCTTCATTCCCCTCTCCTTCAGGATTCGGATGGCATTGAGATGGTCTCGGATTCTCTTCTTACCTTTCTCTGGGGCTCCCCACTTCCTCCATGAGTCTGGGGCCTCTTCGATGAGGCGCCCAGTGAACTCTAGCAAGGGGGCGGCTGCGTCATTCTTGACATAGAACCAATGCCAATGCCACCCCTTGTTGGAGGTCGACAGACGCATCGGTGGGTACTCGCTGACCCGGTTGTTGTAGAGCTGAATGCCGACACATCCCATCAGCATGTTCAGCTCTTGCTTCTTCTCCCGCTTCTTCAGGAGGGTGACGGCAAAGAAGTACCACCATAGGTCAAAGTGGGTACTAATCCCCATGAATCCCTCACATAGGGCAACGAACACCACAATGTGCTAGATTCCGTTGGGATTAAGGTGTTGTAGCTCTACCTTGTAGTAGTGCAGCAATTCCCGAAGAAACTTGTGGGCAGGGGTGGCGAATCCCCGCTTGTGGAAGTGAGCAAAGGACATGACGTAGCCGTCGGGCGGCGACGGCGTGTCCGCTTCATCGGGCAGCCACCACTCCTCAGTGGCAGTCCACGTGCAAAGAAGACTGTGGCGAATGAGGCCCTCAAGGCGCTGGAGGGTGATATCATAGCAGCACCATGGCTCCATTGGAGGATTGGGGTGGGTGGATGCAAATTCGATGATGGCTAAGACACAGACGTGGGAAGCTTAGGCGATTGGTGGCGGAGGTTGTAGATGCAAAGGCAAAGAGGCAAAGTACAAAACCTTAGGGGCGAACCCTTTGGTTTTATAGGGGCGACGGATGCGAGGAAGGGAACTATCCGCCTGGATCTCCGCGCCTGCCATGATCAGCCACAATGTCACGTCGTGGGATATGCGCCCGCAATCCCTATCCTTTCCCTCTGAGGACGCGCCGGACATTTTGCCTCCAAGGGCCGACCATGACTCTTTACCAGCAAAAGGGATATGGGTCAAAAAGCATTTCTTCAGCCGCCTGGGCCCAAGAGTTTGAGGGCTGGCCCATCAACGGTTTCGACGACCGTCCCAAGGCACCCTTACGACAAAAGATGGGCCCATGAGCGGCTAAAACTCAGGCACACGAGCTTTATGGGAGTCTCAGCCCGTGATCGAGTCTCAGGCGAGCTGACCCTGACCGGATCCCCGTGAACAGGATACCAGGATCCCAATTGAGCTATCCGGCTAACAAACCATCAAGTCTCACGACCACACCCGTGAAAGGTCCAACCTCGGTGAAGGAGAACTCATCGTCTTCAGGGCACGCCGTGGGCAATAATAGTGGGCCAGGGCTCTAAGAATCCTCTCTTTTGGAAAACTCTCCGAAGGAGTATTCCACTCCTCCGTGGGCTCGGGGGCTACACCCACCGGGTGTGCTCATGCGCATCCGCTGGCAAGTCAAAACATTCCCCAAGCAATTCTACTCGAATCGTCTAGGAGCTCAGGGGCTACTGTCGGGGACCAATATGGGGGTACCCGAAGAGGAGGAGCTAATGACCATCAACGTTGATCCATCCACGCCATCAAGAGGAGGAGCTGACTCCCAAGGGTTGGCTCTGCCTCACCTGACGTCTAAGGGCAGACTCTGCCTCGCCTGATGTCCGGGGGCTAGCTCTGCCTCGCCCGATGTTTGGGGGCTAGCTCAGCCTCGCCCGACGTTCGGGGGTTGGCTTTGCCTCGCCCAACATCTACGGGCTAGCTCCGCCTTGTTCGATGTCTAAGGGCAGACTCCGTCTCGCTCGACCCTCGAGGGCTGGCTCCGCCTCGCCCGACATCTGGGGGCTGGCTCCGCCTCGCCCGATGTCCGGGGGCTGGCTCCACCTCGCTCGATGTCTAGGGACTGGCTCTGCCTCGCTCGATGTTCGGGGGCTGGCTCCGCCTCGCCCGACGTCCGGGGGCTGGCTCCGCCTCGCCCAACGTCTGGGAGCTAGCTCCGCCTCACCCGACCTTCGAGGGCTGGCTTCGCCTCGCTCGACATCTGGGAGCTAGCTCTGCCTTGCCCGACCTTCGAGGGCTAGCTTCGCCTTGCCTGATGTCTGAGGGCTGACTCCGCCTAGCCCGACGTCTAGGGGCTGGCTCCGCCTCGCCCGACGTCTGAGGGCAGACTCGGCCTCGCCCAACGTTCGGGGGCTGGCTCCGCCTCACCCGATGTCTGAGGGCAGACTCCGCCTCGCCCGATGTCCGGGGGCTGGCTCCGCCTCGCCCGACGTCTGAGGGCACACTCCGCCTCGCCCGACGTCTGCGCGCTGCTTCTTCATAACTACGCGCGCAGATAAGGTAGGGCACTCAAGTCAACCGCAATACCGAGGACCATACCCTGCATGCCTGTAGGAAAGTACCATCAGGATATGACAAGAGGGGCGCTTTAAGCCCTTCCAAGCATGTCAGAACCCGAACAGTGTTGTAGGCGTCGACATTTGTATTACAGTGTTGTGGGCGCCGCCATTTGCCCTCGGGCGTGGATCCTGATGGAAGAATACGACAACCACTACGGTCTAGGAGGAGACTCGCATCATCTACAGTAACGGATGTGCGGTCACTGCACCGTCTGCTCCCCGTAGGGTCGCGGATCGACACCACGGTCTGTCGCGCGCCACCCAAAGGCAGGGATAGGACATGACCACTTGGTCGTGAGCTAGAACATGGGTGTCATCGGTGGACGGGCGCTTGGCGTGGGCCCTATCAGGATCAATGGACATGCACCCAGCATGGAGCTATCCCTAGCACCGTTTGTTGTGTCAGCGGGGCTCGCTCAGAGGAAAAGAAAGACCCGACATCTTTGAAGGACCTCCTTGGCCTCTGATTTTTCTTCTTTCTCCCATCTGTAATCCCTGCTTCCCCTTGGTCTATAAAAGGTAAGGCAGGGCACCCCACTAAGGGGACCGATCGATTCAACACACCACGCATCACATCACACACAGCTGAGCAGCAACTAAGCTCTCAGCGCCGATTTGACCTCTCCATCAGAGACTTGGGACCTGTCCATCTCTCACCCGTTTATAACCCCTACTACGAACTTTTCAGTGCTAATAACACGAGCAGCAGCCATGAACTGGACGTAGGGACATTCTGCCTGAACCAGTATAAACCTTGTGTCTTTTAGTACACCATCTGGGTCCAACACGCAATAACACAAATTTACTTGTTGGTGTTTACTCGAAACACCGACAGGTACTATTCTCATTTCTTTAATCCAAAATACTACTTTACGAGCGCGCGCACGTTGGCGCTATGCGGAGTGCACACCGCACCTTTCCCTCCCCACTCACGCACCCACAACCTCGTCTTCCACCTCCCCTCTTAGCCTCTCTCCCTCTCTCTTTCCCTCTTCCCTAGCGATGACCTCCCCGGAGACCACGCCCGCGCCTCCCCGGAACCGCTCGCATGCGCCCCACCGCCTCCCTCCTGCACGGCCATGGCAGATGCGGCGGCGGATCCACCAGATCCGACGGCGGCGGTGCCAGGTAGGCCTCCTCCTCTCTCCTCTAGGGTTTCAGCGAGCTCTCCCTTCTTCTCCCCAACTCCGGTGGGCTATAGAATGGCCGTCCGGGAGGAGGCAGGTAGGCTAGGCGGTGGGAATGGTTGATGGGATCCTTAGAGGAGCTGGCGGCGGCAGGGACGGTCGGGCCAGGTTGGGGTGGGGGAGCTCCGGTCATGGTGGTGGCGGTGGCCATGGTGGGGGGAGGGGGGAGAAGGTGGAGCTGCGGACGAGCTAGGGAGCGGTGGTGGCGGCGGAGGGCGAGGGCGTCGGAGTTGGGGGAAGAGAGTTGCTATGTTTTTTTGACTAAAAACTAGTGTTCCAGAAGGTGTGCGGGCGGAACCTCCGAATCATGCGGATGCATGCTTTTGTAGCGCCCTTTTTTAATTCTTTTTTGTTAACTTCTTCCTAATTGTCTGGATATCGGAGAGTTTCTTCTGTCTTGCTTTTTTCACTTAAACCGTACTTATGATCTATACTCATACGTGTTAGAACAGCTCACATCTAGCGATAATGGATACACGGTCCGATTCCAATATATATATATATATAGAGAGAGAGAGGGGTTACGTATATGTATCCCGTATGTGCTTGTAGATGCGGGACCCATAGGGTTCCGCACGGAGAAGAGAGAAGAAGACCTAGTCCAACTAGGATTCCCTACATGTAATCCTATTAGGACTAGTTACGTATAATCCTATTAGGATCTCTACTTTGTAACCGACTAGGACTCCCGCCTCTCCTGAACTATATAAAGGAGGGCAGGGGTCCCTAGATCGAGCGACAGATATAACCGACAGAACTCACAACCACAACAAATAGCGTAGGGCGCAATATACTATTCACCCCACACTGGACGTAGGGCGCCGTGACTTTCCGGCGTGCCGAACCAGTATAAATCGTTGTCTCCCTGCGTTTACTACCGAGTTCTTGCGAACGCCGATACTCCTCCGAACAAATCACCGTCCCGGGTACTCCCGTGGCGGGTTGCCGGTGGTAAAACATCGACAGTGCTGAACTCATGACTCGTGCACATATAAACTAGAACAACTCGCGTCTAGCGATTATACAGAGTCCGATCTCTTTGCATCTTGGGTTCCGTTGCAACATATTGCTAGTACTTATATTTTTTTAAAAAAATTGGGTATATAACTATGTATATACGTGTTATTAGGAAAACAAAAACAAAAAAGCAAAAAACGTAACATGGTGTTCACAAATTCTCCTGGCGCTCTCCCTCCCTTAACCAGGCGACGGCGGCCCATCTAGCTCAGTTTTCTCTCCCGCGGCCTCGCAGTCGCAGGCGCAGGCGCTAGGTCCCCCATCGCCGTTTCGGCTTCCAGCGTTTCGCGCAGTCGCGCAGAACAGCGCCTGCGGCTTCTGCCTCTCTCTCCCCCCTTCCATTCCAAACCCTAGGGCCGAATCTCCGGCTAGGCGTCGGCGGCGAGCGCAGCCACGCTGTCCACGCAGGGCTTGGGCGGCCTTAGGACGTAGGTGCGCTGCTTGGGGCCCCGGGTGGCTGCGGAGGGCTGGGGCGGCCCCTGGCCAGGGGCAAGTCGGCAGCGGCAAGCAACCGGGGTGCTGGGCGTGGGTGGGCTGCTGGGAGGCCTGGGGCAGCGGCCAGCGGCAGCAACGGTCGAGCCTCGATCGTCCTGAGGCAGGAGCAGAGCAGCTGAGCTGGTCTGGTACTCTGTTGATTCTCCATTGGAGCAGCCATCAGGTGTGCATCCAGTTTTGTAAGTTAATTTGGTGAATTGGCTTTCCGTTTCACTCTATTATATCAATTGCAATTTGTGAAACTATAACAGATACGGATACGGATATTAATTCACTGATTATGTGTTACTTATATGTGTTAAATAATTTGTGAAACTGCCAAATTGGGACAGTTCTACATGTAAAACAATTTCTAGTTATATTCAATTCTATATGAATTTATTAAATCATGCTCAATTATGTACTATATCTCTACTACTATGTGATATTATACATGACAAATATTAGGCTTTAGGTTGTACAAAAAAATGATAGCCCTTCACATTTGTGTGTGTGTTTGTTTGGTGGGGGGGGGCTTGCACCCAAAATATAAAAAGGAGCTTCTGTGTCTTTGTTTCAATTGTTTCAGTAGTAGATCTGTTCTTGTACTTTCCTGTTATTTGTATCAATACATTGCCTTCTGTGATGCAGTGATGGAAGGTACTACGATTGCTATTGAGATTGATGGGGAGGCCATCTGTCTTGGCAGTGTCGAAGATAATGAACAAGAAGCTGAGGAGAATGGAGAAATGCAGCAAATAATTTACACCGCTGAAAATGGGGAGCAAGTAGCCTTCGACAACCAAGAACAGGGGAGGGAGGAAGATCCTGCAGGAAATGAAGAAGAGGATAGGGAGCATAATTCCATAATCCCAAGCCGTGAGGAGTTGACTGAAGAATTACAAAATAAAGTCGCATATAGTGAGGAAGAAGCTTACAGGTTGTACTGTGACTATGGGCACCGTATGGGCTTCAGTGTTCGAAAGGGAAAGCAGTACTACTTTACCGGAACCAAAACCATCCGTACTAAAGATTATTACTGCTCAAAAGAAGGCTTGAAGGATGATGAGCAGCTTACTGAAGCGAACTTTAATAAGCCAGAGACCAGAACTAATTGCAAAGCAATGGTTCGTTTTAGGGTTGATTCTGAAGGTCAATGGCGAGTTATTCAAATAATTCCGGAACACAATCATGAGTTAGTTCGGCCGGAAGAGATACACTTACTGAGATCGGTGAGGACTCTTTCAGTCCCGAAATCTGGTGTGCTGAATGCAATGGTGAATGCTGAAATCCAAGCAATGCATGACAGTTTGCATATAAATGAAGATGGTACAGAATGCCACAGCCAGCTTAGCATCCGTAGTTACACTCTGCTTGAACCAGAGGAATGTGAGGCCCTTGTTGGATATTTCAAGCGCAGGTCAAATGAACAAGGTATGTTCTATTGGGATGTAGAAGTAGATCAAGAAGGCCGAATGACTAATTTTTTCTGGAGGGATGGGAAAAGCCGGGTTGACTATGATAGTTTCGGAGATGTTGTGATATTTGATACATCATATCGCACCAACAAGTATAATATGATATGTGCCCCATTTATTGGTGTGAATCACCACCGACAAAATGTCATGTTTGGCTGTGCATTTTTGTTAGATGAGTCCCTAACATCGTATGAATGGTTATTTAAGTCATTCTTGGAGTCAGTGGGCGGTCGTCCTCCTAAAACAATCTTTACTGATCAGAATGAATTTATCTCCAAGGCAATTGAAGATGTTCTTCCTGGGACACATCATTGTCTTTGTCAACGGCTCATTGAAAAGAACATGCTGTCCCATTTAGGCACTATCAATGATTCTGGAACATGTCATAGCTTGCTTATAAAGTGCATGAGAGGATGTGAGTCAGAAGCAGAATTTGATGAAACATGGGCGATGATGCATCATGAGTATAATATGCAGGAACACCCGTGGCTCACTGATCTGTATCAGCAAAGGCATAAATGGTGCACAACTCTTCATAAGGATGCGTTTGATGGTGGGATTGAATTGATGGATAGGAATGAGGGTTTGAACAATATTTTGAGCAACATTGATGATGAATCAACTTCACTTGCCACTTTTGTTCTTGAGTTGGATAAAATTGCAGGTAGTTGGCGTGAAACTGAGCCTTTAGAGGACATTCAGTGCAACCAGGCTGCTCCGGAGTGTACAGTTAAGCATAACAGAATTTTGCAACATGCCGCTGAAGTTTACACACACAAGGTCTATAAGTCTCTTGAAACAGATTTTCTAGATGGAACTGGTGCAACTTCATATCAGGAAGTTCAGTGTAATGAAACATTGTATAAGTTTGAGTTCGTTCTGCAAAGTAGTCCAAATGTTTGGGTAGTTTTCCTTAACACCTCTACCATGGAGTTGAGCTGTACTTGCAAAAAATTTGAGACCATGGGTGTACTTTGTTTACATGCTCTAAATGCACTTGGTCTCAAGAATGTCGATAGGATTCCTGAAAGGTATATTTTAAACCGTTGGACAAAATATGCCAGAAAAGGAACATATCCATTTCCAGTTGATGAATTTGCAGAACAAGATCGCACAGAAGCTGCATCTGTGTATCATAATAGGGCTATGTGGTTTGTTTATGATCTGCTGACGAAGAGCAAAAGTCATCATAATACAAGAAAACTAATTCTGGATGTACTTGAAAACGGAGAAAAATCACTGGACAATATGTGTGACCTCAAAAGATTGCATATGAATCCCTTGGGAAAAGAGAAAGATGGGAGCAGGGTTGAAAAGAGAAAGAAAAAATCAACTAAGCAAGAGAAACATTCAAGTATCTCCTCTTTCACTTGCATTCATCTTGCTTCAGCAATGATTAAGTTTGATTGAATAAAATAATTTTTTTTATAGGAAATGTGAAACAAGTGGTTTTGCCCCAGCCAGCTGACCCGGTTTTTGTCGATCCACCAAATCAAGATCAATATTTTGCTGCAGAAGATATTGCATCAAACTCATCTGTTGGTAGACCTTACTTCTACCAGGTAGTGATCCTACCTCTTTAGGAATATTGTTTTATTAACTGCTTCCAAATTACTGAATCATGCATCTTTGCTTTTTAGGGATACCCCGCGACAACAGTTGCTTAAATGAGCTTTTTTATTAATTTTAGGGTATGCATTCTGAGCCTCAGTGTGCATCCCAGGTGCTTAAATGAGCTTTTTTATTCTATATCTTATCATAATTGATGGTGGCATGTATGAAGGATTAGATGCAATTGGAAGCTTGAAAGCCTTCCTAGTAAAACTACAATTAATATGAGCATTCTTAACATTAAGGAAATGAATAAATAAGCTAACCTGGCATCTTTGCTTACCCTTTTCTTTTATTCTCAAACTTCCAAGACATACACAAAACTTGCTTTGGAGTTCTAACTATTTATCAAGACAGACTTTGCACCAAATGAACAAGATTGGATTTTTGTAGGCTAGCTTGGTTTAGTTTCTAGATATTCTGAGTCCTTTTGTTCAGAGTGTGTATATCCTTGTCTCCTCACTTCTTCAGTTGGGGTATTGACCTTCGAACCTATGACCCTTCTGTCACAGAGTCTAGTTCTCTACTCCATCTGTTCCAAATTATAAGACATTTTGGCTTTTCTAAATACGTTGCTTTTACTATGTATCTAGACATAGTGTATATCTAAATGCATAGCAAGAGCTATGTATCTAGAAAAGCCAAAACGTCTTATAATTTGGAATGGAGGGACTACATGCTAGTAAACATTTCCTGTTCCTTTTTGTACTGGTCTCTCTCGCCTTAGTTGCTTCAATTCTTTCAGCTTTTACTAGTTTAGTAAGTTTACTGAACTTGTGAACTGTGACAGGAATATTCAGCTTATGGCGCAGTTCAGCCACCATCGCAATTTGGTGGTGGAAGAAATTTCTGAAAGGTGTAGTGTCATTGACGTGTGAATATCTGAAGCTTATATCTCTTCTACTGATTGTTGTATGTGAATTACTTGTTCATCTAGGCAGTAGACACCCAACCTAGCAACAGAAGAAATAGGTTACTCTCTTCCATTTTGTGAGAATGTACTAACTGTAAATCTGTTATTCACAACTGTATGGAATATGGAAGCATCATGTTATAGGAAACTAGATAAAATTTGTTTTCGAAATGTATCATTTATGTACTAGCTAAACAAATCAGTAAGCATTATAGTAGACTTGTCCACCACTTGATACTGATTGTCAAATTCAATTCAACCACCAAGTTCTTTACCTTGGAAGGGTATTCACTGAAGCACGGTCTTAAGGAACTCAAAACATTTTTGGTACAGTCGGCTCCTGTTCAGTAAATTACGTACTAATTGTTTATGGATGGCATGCTTGTTTAAAAGTTTGAATTGAGAAACAAAACCTAGTAATGAAAATATTCTGTGCATACTTTAGTTTTAGGAGCGTATAAATTCATTTGAGTTGATGCAATTGGCTTAGCTTTTTAGTTTGAATCACTGATAGTTGAAGGCTTGAGTTATATATCCGGTGCATAAAGTTACCATCTTTCGATTGCAATGCACTCTATTTTCTTGTTCCATCTGCTGCTTCTGGTTTTCAGTCATTTTTATTGTATTTTGTTTCCTCGTTTGCGCATTGCATTTGACACTAAAAACAGTACCACCATCCTGAAATGTCCTAACATGGTCGGATTTTTTTCGTCAGACACTGCACATGGAACTACAATTGGATATTTCTAGTTTTGACAAAACCTACGATTTGAAGTAATCTGGCTGTACGACTCGCCATCCAGTAACTTCAATTTCCATATTTATTACCATCCCGAATCGCTCATTTTCCTTCAACGATGTGCCATCACCCTTAGTTTATAGCTTTGTTAAACACGCTGTAAACAGACGGGTGTCAGGCTGACCCCCTGTTAACTCCAAATCTACGTGTGCCCAACCCAACCCAGTGCAGCTCCATCTCTCCTCTTCTCGTGGGACGCACTAGCATCCAAAACGAAAGATACAGATGTTGGAACTACAAATATGTTTATCATGATTTTCCTTCAATAAAATAATAAACTAATACACCTCATACTGGTGCTATTTTGATGAACCAGGTCATTTGTCTTTGAATCTCACACCAGCACTAGCAGCTAGGGGTGGACAAAATTTCACCAAAACTGATTAATCGAACCGAACCGATTTAACTAAAGTCGGTTAACTAAAATTTTTGTGATCTATTCAGTGAAGCCTTTGGAAGTATTTGTAGTGACTTCGTCAATCTCGAGATTAACCGGTCTACCTCAGTTCTTTGGAGGTGCTCATGTGGAGGTGCGTTCATAGAGGTACACGTGTATATGAACATCTACATCTGTATATTGGATTTCGCAAAGAAAAAAATAGCTCTAATTTTCAAAATATATTACAATTTATCTCCTCATCAGAGATATGGAGATTAATTAGATCAGTATTGAACTTCAACTTAAGGTAAAGGTCTAGTTCAATTTTGGAATAAAGTGAATGTGCAATTAATGGGATTTTTGTAATAAAAAAGGAGTCCAATTTGGAACATTTAGATAAGATGTCAAACTAGGAACTTTGTGCAAATTTAGTAGTTTACCGATACTTTATAAATCTTTCTCTAGTTGTGACGTCCATTGTTAGTAACTTGTGTGCAATCGTTGAAACCTTGAAACACTCTAGATCACATATACCGTGTACCTTAAACTCTATATTTTATTTGACGTTATACCTAGGATTTGAGTTGATGTTATTACTCTACATTATTAAATTTGTTTACCTAGGATTTGATTTGACGTTATACCTAGGCTAGTACTTGGTTTGTGCAATTACAAGAATCATGAGAGATCCCCAATCACCATGGAAAAAAAATATTTTGATAAATTTCTAGCAATTTTAGTTTGTTGCCACAAGGCATGCTGCTATTGAGTATCACAACATTTAATTGATTGGAATCACACATGGAAGTGGCATATCTTCTTCTAATGTTCTGGTTGACCTCCGATATCTATCGATGCCAGTTTTGAGATTCAACATTGGAGTAAGTGATACTATAATCTTGAGTCTGGTAACACTCGATTAAAATCTACAGCTTAAGATCTCCAATCCTCAAAGGCACATGCTAGTCAAATAGTCGAGATGTGTGTCAGTTGTACTATCAAAGTGTGAGGATCCCGATGTCTTTGTCGTGGCCGGGAGAAGTGGCCACGACGAGTCCCCGATGTCGAATATTTTGTAAGTCCGGTTACGTTAGGACTTTGAGTTGTATGTGGCAATATAGACGAGTTGGAGTCAAACTCAATTCGGCCTCATAAATATGATAAGAGGGCAAGAATAGGGGCGGAGGGCTCAGTATGGCGAGGTATGGCGGTGGCCATACCTTGATTCCACCGCAAATCCCCTTCTAATTTGCTTGTCGATTGTCTCAATTACTGATCCGACATGGATGACTGAAGCTGAGCAGCCACGGTCTGAAACTCTGAATAGCGACTCAAGGAAGAAGAATGCTGTGATGAGAACCTTTGGCTGGCGGCGTGACTCCCTGTGTTGCCCGTCGGCCGGATTGTGTATGTCGCGCGTATCATCTCGTACCCGTCTCCCCATCTCCCCGAGTGTATGAGACGATTAGAGTTCCCCGTTCGGCAGCCCGTCGTCTGGCGTCTGCGCTGTGACTCTGCATCTAAGCATGCATTACTGTCTGCGTCGATCGGTCGATCACGCCATCACAGTGCCTAGTGCATGCTAGGCGGCAGGCCAGCAGCAGCACACCTGCACTTCGTGATCAGTCCATCAGGCATCACCGCATCACCGCATCAAAGGTATATGGCCTAGCGGGTGGCAATCACAACCACCTTACGTATTTGCTCTTTTAAATTGTTATATATATGTTTATTTAATTTATTTTTCCTTTTGATTAATTACTGAATTTGGTTGATTATTTTACGAGGGATATTCAAGTAAATATGGTCGCTGCGGCATGTGTATAAATCACCTTAGTTTTGAATTATACTTTGCTATCTATCTACGTTATCGAATTCGCCCTACCTTAAATTTTTTCCGTAAAGATGACCCAAGAGCAAGAAGGTCGTTTTGCATCACTCAGACACACTGGCATGCCTATGTGTCGTTTGCGAAAATAGCTCAAAGTTATGAAATCTTCTCCGTCTGGTGACAAATATGTAGGAGCAACATAATAATGACATTTGAAGAGGTGCCAACCGAACGAATACGTTTATTTTTCAAGTGATTCATATCGTCATCGTCAAGTATACCCGTTCCAAATTTCATTCAAATCAAATGATCCGTAGCGGCCAATACATCTCGTGGTAACAAGAATGTATTGTTCTGAGGGATATCAAGATTCAGTCTCCGATTCATATTTCGTCGACCAACTCTTCCTAATTCATATTTTTGTTTAATGGCAAAAGGTTAAATATTCCATAGCCATGCAATGCTTTGGCTGAACCTCGTTAACAAATATCTTGCCTTCCATGATGTTTGTGATATTGCATGTTTATCTCGGTAGATCTAATCAACATTTTTGTGTGTGCAGATTAGCGGCTAGCTTGCCCACTATGAGGACTAATTTATAACAATTGGTTAGAACCCATGGTTGGATCATTATTATCTAAAAAAAGAATCTATAGTTCAAGACCTGAAAAATCTTAGGGTCACATAGTGACGGTGCAGCCCATTGACATCTCCGAAGGGTCTCATAGGTTGTGTGACATACATAATTGGACTCCGGATCTGGATAACGTCTTTCGAAGATCACATCAGCAATTGATGTTGGGGAGCACAATATATATATAAAGCGGGACAACCCCTCGTCTATTATATACTAGTTTTTGGGTTATGTTAGGCTCAGTATCTTGGTTTGTTATGGGCTTTGATAAATATATATGAGCCTGATGTGGCACTGACTCATTGGTATAGCGAGCTGAATCGTATCCATGCTGCTCGCTCTAAATCTACAAAGGAGGTATCATAATCCCCAAAACGTGCAGTAGTGACGCTGACCACCTTATACTTATTTTATGCGTTTTTCCCTTCTCGTGTACATATTTGGCAAATTACATCTAATCATCATGATGTCATATATTCATATAATCAACCAGCGCTGCAAATCTTTATCACCTTAATAAAAGATGCGTCTGACTTGTTCCTTGATAAAAGAAAGATACATTTGACTATGATGATATACTTCAATCGATTTTATTGACAACCTATCTGTCGGCACGAAATTTCGTCCCGTGCCGAGGCACACGAGGAAGCCGAAAGGGTCTGCTCGATGGAGCTGGAGATCCGCCTAGCTTCAACGCAGGGATTATCGATCCTGCACACTCCTCACGAGACGTGCCAGTCAATTTGACCCTGCAGTTGACAAATAGATAAAGCTAATCAATAATTTAAGGCGGAACATGTCGGTGTTGCCAGACAGTCCCGAATATGTGGCTCTGAGAGCCGATGTGGAAGGAGATCGACTAAATAGCCGATTCCAGCATACTCATAAGACTAAATCAGTTAAAGCTCATGGAGTTATGAAAGGAAAATCGGTTATCGTTCAGGATGAATCTCGTTTTTTAGACAAATATTAATCAATGGTAATAGGATGTCAACAATAATCAGTTTATGCTAAGTCAACGACTGCAAGTAACCGAATCCCTTTTTATATAAAAGAAACACCTCATCATCATTTAACTATTTAATAGAGATAAATCTAATAAGCATATTAGATCTCATCTATCGTTATGACCAGTGGGGCATGAGACAGAATCATGCAGGCCGTAGAAACAACGATAAATTCGACGACCCTAACTTATTACTAATATCAGTGGGGCATGAGGCAAAATCATGCACGCCGTAATACAATAATAAGATCATGAGACTAACACATCTTTCAACCTATCTTTACTTCAACG